CTGAAGCAGCTGCAGCCACCCCTGTCGCGGCCCCGTCCAGGTTCTGTCCCTGCACCCACCCAGCCAATCAACGACCCGCAGCTGTTCTGCTCAAACCATTTGGCGACCTTCTTGGCGCCTCCCTCTTCTCTGTCGTCTGTGCCTCTAGTTCTTGTCCATCTTTATTTCTTCTGTTCGACGCAAAAGACAGACTGGGGGCAGCGACAAAAAGAGGACACCCCTCTGGCTTCAAGAACCTCAGCGTTGCCTTTGCCGACGGCCTCGCCGACACGACCCCTACTTAGACCTCTCTCAACTACTGCCATCTTCGACGACAACGCAATGTTCTCCCGAATGTCCTTGTGACCGGTACTTTATCTCGACCTCACCTCGAACCCTCCACTCGCCGCCGACCACGACGACCTTTAACCCCTTTACACCGCCCTACTCGACGTCCCTAAATCCTACCCACGAACCTCACAAAACTCGACCGCCGCATTTATCATACGCATACCGAAACATACTCTTGGCTGCGAAGATAATCCAAAATGTCGGCTATCCCGACAACGGCGTCGGAGACGACGTCTGTCGCGTCGTCTCTGGCGTCTTCAGTGGCCTCGTCGCTGTCTACCGCCCTTTCTGCCACGATATCGGCGACGTTGAGTAGCAATGGTACAAGCACCACCTCATCGGCATCGTCAACAACACCATCAATATCTACTTCTGCAACTGCCAATCCTATCGGTGCCGCGCAAAGGTCCCAGGGCATGACCCTTCTCGGTTTCCTCGCTGCCTTGGCCACCGGTTTGACGGTCTTTGGAATTCAGGTCCTCGCCTTCCTTCTTCTACGAAATAAGTTGGCACGTATTTTGTGAGTACTCCTCTGTCGTCCTTTGGACAAGCAGTCACTAACTTCTCTCAGCAAACCAAAGACATACTTAGTCCCCGAGCGAGAGAGAACAGATTCTCCGCCCGCTGCGCCATGGAATCTGATTAGCACTTTGCTAAAATTCAGTGACCGCGAAGTCATCAAGAAGTGTGGTCTTGACGCCTACTTCTTCCTGCGATATCTCAGGGCTCTTCTGACAATCTTCATTCCGATTGCTTGTGTGGCGATTCCTATTCTGATTCCGCTCAACTACAGCGATGGCAGGGGTCATGATTTTCTGAATGACGTGGATCCGAACTCAACAAACAGCACCAACAGTACTTCGTCTACCTCGCGGCTGCTGGTTAGAAGCCTGCAACTTTACATTCGAGCCGAATCGGACAGCAATTCTACGGAAGACAGCATACCGACGGGCTTGGATACGCTGGCCTGGGGAAATGTTGGACGAAATCATACAAATCGTTACTGGGCTCACTTGGTCATTGCGATACTGGTCATTGTCTGGGCGTGCACCGTTTTCTTCTTTGAGCTACGAGTATACGTCAAGGTCCGCCAGGATTATCTTACCAGTGCCGAACACCGACTTCGCGCATCAGCAACAACCATTCTTGTTAGCGGTATACCTTCCAAATGGCTCACCGAGGAAGCTTTACTCGGCCTCTTCGACGTCTTCCCTGGCCAGATCCGCAATATCTGGTTGAATCGGAACCTCAAACGCCTACTTGAGAAAATCCAGCTTCGTGAGAAAATTCACCTGAAACTCGAAGACGCTGAAACCGAGCTCATTAAAGCTGCAAAGAAAAAGCAGCTGAAACGACGCAAGAAGGAGGAGAAAGCTGCTAGAAAACAGTCAAAGTCTAAGGGACCGACCAAGCAGGAGGAACTCCTTAGGAGGCAACGGGAGGACGAGGAAGCCCGGAAGATGGCCGAGGGCAATAACGGAATAAGCTCTGGCGAGCACGAGGAAGTCCCTCATGATATTGGCGCCGTCATGGACGAGGAAGACTCCAAGTCGAGACGTTCCAGGCGATCAAGCTCGTCGTCGTCAAGCTCTTCTGAAGACGGTGATCGTCCCCAGTCCAAGGGCTTTGGGCTCAGCGTCATTGGAGATGGATTCACCAAAGTCGGAAAAGGGCTGCTCGGGGGTGTTACCAAGGCGCAAAAAGAAATCAAGGAGTTTGGTCAGGACGTCGAAGATACCGTTGAGACGACCAATGGATTTGCGATGCTACAGCCCAACGACCGCCCCCGCAAGGTTCAGATCTTGGCTGAAGGAGAACGACCTGGGACAGCCAAGAGCGTCCGCAGCAACGGAGAGCAGCTGAAGCCGATCCCGACCGCCGACACCCACAAGACTCACTCCCGTCATGCATCCGCTGCTACCCAAGATACGTCAGGACCCAAGAACAGCTACGAGCCGTTGGGCAATGGCAACACCGTGCGGAAAGTAAGCAACTTGGATCATATGTACGATCAGGAAACCCGGAAATTCTGGCAGTTCTGGAAAGCCCCGGCCGGTGGCTACGCATCGCCCATTCCCCAAGGATATAACTCCGGTGAATTCCCTTTCAACCAGCCAAAGGACAAGACGTTTTGGCAGGTGATCAAGTCCTTCATTCCCTTCATGGGCGACCACGGCGAGGATCCTATAGAGTACCCTCCGTGGAGTGAAATTGGCGACGACTACACGAAGATCCTGGACGACGAGGCAGAGTGGCGCAAATGGCTGAGGGATAAGGATCGCCCAACCCATCGCTTGCCGCGCTGGGGCTTCCCTGACTGGCTCGCTTGGCTCACGTTTGGACGCAAGGTTGATACCATTTATTGGTGTCGCCAAGAGCTCGCCCGGTTGAACGTCGAGATTGACGATGACCAAGCCCACCCTGAGCGCTATCCTGTGATGAATTCTGCTTTCATCCAATTCAACCACCAGGTCTCGGCTCATATGGCTTGCCAAAGCTTGATGCATCACGTTCCTAAACACATGTCTCCAAGGATCAACGAAATCTCGCCTAAAGATGTCATTTGGGACAACATGGCCATGGAATGGTGGGAGGAGTCTCTCCGATCAGGCGTTGTCACAATCATCGTCACGGTGATGGCCTTCTTCTGGGCCATTCCTATCGCCTTCTCTGCTACGCTTGCGAACGTCGACTCTCTCATCGAGAAATTTCCTTGGCTTAGCTGGATCAGAGACAGCCCGAGCATCAAGAAACTCGCTGGTGCTATTGCCGGTGTCTTGCCCGCGATTCTGCTCGCCCTCCTGCTTGTCATTGTTCCGCTCATTTTGGAACAGCTTGCAATGGTCCGGGGCGTCAAGACCGGTACTCAAAGAGCCGAGTTTGTTCAACGATTCTACTTCGTCTTCCTTTTCATTCAAGTCTTCCTTGTCGTTTCGATCACATCCTTCTTCGTTGCGTCAGCAGATGAGTTTCTCCAGAAATTTGAGCAGTTGCAAAGCGTAACTTTCATTCTCAACACGTTGGCCACGAATCTGCCGAAAGCCGCCAATTATTTCTTCTCCTACATGATGCTGCAGGCGTTGTCTGTGAGCTCCGGTACGCTGCTTCAGATTGGCGCCCTCATCACATGGTATCTCTTGGCTCGTATTCTGGACTCTACAGCTCGAGCCAAGTGGAAGAGAAATACCACACTCTCGACCATTTCTTGGGGACAATTCTTCCCTGTGTACACCAACTTTGCATGCATCGGTCTCATTTACAGCGTTGTTGCACCGCTAATCTCGCTGTTCGCCGTTCTCACGTTTAGTTTGCTGTGGTTCGCTCAGCGTTACAGCATGCTTTACGTCACGCGCTTCGAGACCGATACAGGTGGTGTTTTGTATCCTCGTGCCATCAACCAGACTTTCACGGGATTGTACGTGATGGAGGCTTGTTTGGCGGGCTTATTCTTCATAGTGGTTGACCAGCACGGTAACAACGTTGCAACCGCTCAGGGTGTCATCATGTTGGTCGTACTGGGCTTCACGATGCTATACCAGATATCGCTCAACTCTGCATTCTCGCCGCTTTTCCGATTCTTGCCCATCACAGTGGAGGACGAGGCCGTTATCAGAGACGAGGCGTTCCAGCGCGCTCAAAACCGACGTCTCGGGCTCATCGACGATGACGAGGATGACGAAAAGACGCCAATGCGGAATGGAGATGGCGCAAGTTCGGATCCTCGCGGCATCGAACTCCAAAAGCTTAACGACGGTGGCCCGCAACGCAAGAACTCGACTATGCGTCGTGTGAAGAACGTGGGCCACTGGGCGAAGGAAGGAGGCAAACATCTCCGCTCTAAGACGTGGAATATGGGCCCAGCTTCCGTCAAGACTGCCGCTGAATACCGACGTCACCAACGCGACAAAGATCTCGAGGCTCAACGGGCACTCGGAGAAGCGCTTTATGGCGGGTTCCACGACGAAATCGAAGACTTGACGCCCGAGGAGCGTGATGTACTCGTTAGAAACGCGTTTCAGCACTACGCTCTTCGGGCGCGAGCGCCAGCGGTATGGATCCCCCGTGACGACATAGGGATCAGCGACGACGAGATCAAGAGGACGAAGGAGTTTAGCGAGCATATCTGGATCAGTAACGAGGGCACAGCGCTTGACAGCAAGGTCCGCGTGGTGTACGGGGCGAACCCTCCAGACTTTTCCGAGGTCGACATCATTAACCTCTAATCAGGCCTCGTGTTTTTATATAATGAACATATGCATATACCCAGCGGGCGTTAGGGGGAAGGGAACTTAAGCATTAGAAGAGAAAAGCAACTAGCAAGAGTTATACATGAAATACAGCCAGTTCAATTCGTGTCTCGTCAATCGCTCTCAATGAACACATGCCAAACAACTCCAACTCATATGGTCGTTAACTTATGAATGAAAGCCGAAGGTTTGGCACAAGGTCTGTCAGCTTATAAATCATTGAGACCAATGACGTGAGAGACTTGACGAAGATTTGGAGACGGACCTTCATCCGACGCGCGAGCGCCAACCCCCGCACGAGTGTGCAATTCCAACCTCGACTGCATCAGCCCTTTCCCTTTCCCCCCTAGACATTTGAGGTTCAGTGAGCACCTTTCGGTTGTAACCACAACGAACAAGCACCGTATCGCTCCACATCACAATATGACAAAGTCAGGCAAAGCCAAGGCCGTCGTGAACGGAACCACCGTCGCGGAGACGACGGAGTGGGAGGAGGTGGAGGGGAACGTGTACTTCCCGCCCTCGGCGATCAAGTCGGACATCCTGGAGAAGACCTCGCACACGACGTTTTGCCCGTGGAAGGGGACTGCGGAGTACTACTCGCTCAAAGTCGGAGGTGAGTACCTATGGGCGCGGACGTTGTCTGGCTTGATTGGGTGCTGATAGTTTTCATCAGGTGACAAGCTCGAGAATGCGGCGTGGTACTATCCCACGCCCAAGGACGCGGCGAGCGAGATCAAGGACCATGTTGCCTTTTGTGAGTATCGAGGGTTGCGGTTCGTGAGGGAGAGTCTGATGCTAATGAACGTGTAGACAAGAGCAAGGTTACGGTCTCTGTTGAGTAGGGGGCAAGAAGCAGTCTCGAGCTTAGGAATTGAAATTTGGCGCACTCGTCAGGTGCCATGTCAAAGTGTATGAGTACTGCAACTTTGAGATATCATAAAATTCATCACCTGCAAACTCCGAGTGTTGCATTCAATAACTTTTCTAGATCATCCAGTAGACCAGGGTATTCCTCTACATAAGTCATGACGCAAGGAAACTCATACTGGCCGTCTAGACCTCCACAATTTCGTTATCGTCTTCTTCAATCTCCTCCACCTTGGAGCCGTTCGTCAACTGCTTCTGCTCTCCCTCACCTTCTTCAGGCGCTTCGTCGCTCATGATGACCTGCACCAGACGGTCGCAAGTGTCCTTGACGCCCTCGTCTTCCACGCGCAGATGCGTTTCTCGGATGATGGGGTACACTTTCACCCTCCTCATCAGGTCGCGAGCTTCACGCGTGGTGGTGAGAAGCAACAGGGTCTCGATGTGTGTCTGGATGATTCTCGGGTCTGAGTCGCGCTTCTTGTCGGGGGGAAGAAGTTGCAGATCGGGCAACATGCCCATCGTGTCTTCATCGTCGTACTCTTCATTACCGGTAATGGGGAGCAGGATGTAAGGCAAGATGTCGACCTCATCCTCATCAAGGAAGGTGGGGTGGAACTGGATCTCGAAGGCGACGTTCTTGATGGTACTTGCCACGCCCTTGCGGCGGATCTCAGAGGCATGCTCTGTGAAGACCTTGAGCTTGGTGATGGGGATGACCTCGTCATAGTCCTGACGGGTAACGAAGTGCTGGCGGACTTCGGCATGCTTAGTGAGGTCGGCGAAGAGGTAAGCGAGGTAGTCGTAGTCCGCGTCCTTATTGTAGCGCTTCTCCTTGACGAAAAGATCAATGAGCTGGTTGAGTACGAGATCGTTGGACTTGAGCTCCTCGGGTGGCGTCTGCTTTCTGGTGACGATGGTCTTGAGACCGTCATACTTTGCTAGGTTGGCCAAGAGCATGGCCATCAGGTTGGCGTTTGGCTCGTTGGGCTTCACTATCAGATCCGCAACTTCTCCGATGAACTTGTCATCTTTGGCAACATTTTCCAAGACATCCTTCTCTGCCGTCAAGTTGACGAGAATGGTGAGGACATGTTCTGCGATTTTCTGAGAATGAATGAGTGTCCGTACACAGCCGACATAGGAAGGCCAGTGTCTAGCTTACAGGGTGGTCTTTGACTAGGAACTTGAGGTGCTTGATTGGCGTCAAGCCCTCAGTCTTGAAAATGGCCGGTTGCGCTTGCGAGTAACCGACAAGATTCTCAACGGCCAATTTCCTAATTTGCGGGTTGGGATGGGCGATGAAGCCCACGAGCTGTTGCGAATAAGCTGAGTCCTTCAGGCCCGAGGATTGGTCTCATACCTCCTCTAGTTCTGTCGGCATTTTAGAGAATTTTGTGGTGTAGCTTTCTGCGAAATGGAGGAGGTTTCTCACAGGAATACCAACTTTTAAATGCTGTTCCAAGGAAATTGTCTCGCCTTCGTTGTAAGACAGACCGGGAGAGTCACTCGCAGAAGCTTTTTGGTGGGGTGTTGTGGCGGGGCACTCGTTATGGCTCGCCGATGAAGTCAAAGCCCAGGGGATTGATTGGTCTAAAGACCGCCTTGACCCACTGTACGCCGGTCCAGGGTTCTGGGCTAATCAGGCGCGGGGCAATCGATAAGAAAATCAAAAATTTCCAGGCTCACAGAAAAAAAGAAAAAAAGAGGCACCGCCAATCCCGCCCCGTCGCTCTCCGCCACGACTGTTCGAGTCCAAATCTGATCAAAATGGGCAAGGCGACGACCCCGACCGACCGCCAATCGCGCAGGCACAACCCTCTGCAGGACGATATCCTGGCCACAGGTCCTTTGAAGAGCAAGGTTCCCAAGAAGAAGAAGGGCAAGGATGGCGACGAGGGAAATGGCGACCACTTCGTCGATGCGACCCGCAGTCGCACCATTCTGAGGCTGGGCCGAGAGCTTGCGGACGAAGATGCCCCTGCGAAGCCCGAAGCCTCTGCGAAACCGGGTGTCGATCTCTTCGGCATCGAGTCAAGATATGGGGTCGATGTTGGCGGCGACGAGCAGACATACGAGGAGGAGGAGGCCTGGGGCGAGGAGGACGAGGTCGTGGAGGAGATTGAGATTGATCCGGAGGACCTTGAGACCTACCGCAAATTCCTGCCCGAGGCTGAGGAGGATCCTGCGGACATGCTGAACGATGCCGGTTGGGGAAGCAAGGGCGGTGACGAGGATATGGCTGGTGGCGGCACCAACCTTACCGAGCTCATCCTCGAGAAGATTGCGGCGCATGAGGCTGCCGAAGCCAGGAAAGCAGCGGGCGTGCCCGTGGATGACGTCGACTACCAGCTTCCTCCCAAGGTCATCGATGTGTATACGAAGTGAGTGTTTCGACTTCCCAGCCCCGGAGCTCGTCGCTAACAGGACCTAGGATCGGCCAGATTCTGTCGCGATACAAGAGTGGCCCCCTGCCGAAGCCGTTCAAGATCCTGCCGACCCTGCCGCACTGGGAGGACATCGTTGAGGTCACTGAACCCCAGAAGTGGACGCCGAACGCTGTGTACCAGGCGACGAGGATATTCTCTGCTTCCAAGCCAGCAGTGTGTCAGAAGTTCATGGAGATTGTTGTTCTCGACAAGGTCCGTGAGGACATTTACGAGAACAAGAAGCTAAATGTACACTTGTTCAACGCTCTGAAGAAGAGTTTGTACAAGCCTAGGGCGTTCTTTCTGGGTTTCTTGTTCCCGCTCCTGTCTAGCGGCTGCACCATTCGCGAGGCCCATATTGTTTCTGCTGTGCTCGCCCGAGTTTCGGTGCCGGTGCTCCACTCTGCAGCTGCTTTGAAGGGAATCACTGAAATGTGTGTTAAATTCTCTGCGAGAACCGTTCGAAACTGTACTGACATGGTCTTAGTGCCGCTCAAGAAGCCTCCGCTGGAACCGAGGGTGGTGGATCTGCCAACATCTTCATCAAGACTCTGCTGGAGAAGAAGTACGCCCTGCCGTACCAGGTTATTGATTCGCTCGTTTTCCACTTCATGAGATTCAGGAGTGTTGATCCTGCCTCCATCAAGGAGGGCCAGTCCTTCTCTGGAGATATGGTCAGGTCACTTCCTGTGGTTTTCCATCAGAGTTTGCTGGCATTTGCCCAGAGATACAAGAACGACCTGAGCGAGGATCAACGTGAGGCGCTTCTCGATTTGTTGTTGTCGCACGGCCACGCCGCTATTGCCCCTGAGATCAGGAGAGAATTGCTTGCCGGCAGAGGAAAGGGTGTAGCGATTGAGCAGAACGCTCCTTTTGACGGCGACGACACGATGCTTGTGGATTAACGAACTAAAAAATGGGAATGGGAGTTGGAGCTTGGCCAGCCCCAGGGCATTATAAGGCGTTAGCAGGTTGATTTGATACCCGCAATCCTAATCGAACGGATTATGAGAAGCTGCGTTGTTTCAAGAGTGTATGACTTTCACGTGTGCTCTTTATAGGCAATTACTGGAGGAAGTGTGTTGGCTGCTTCCCAGTACAGCTCAGCAAGGGCGCAGCAGGTGCGAACCATACTGGCCCTGCTCAAGAGGTGCCTTCATCCACAGTCACCTGCATGATATGAAGAGCTTTTCAGTCTCCTGTTCGGTCCTGAAGGCATTCTCTACCATCTCTGCCACCTATGTGTTCTTTTCGTCTCCAGACCGCGCGCGCCGACGTATCTGTAGCTTCTGCAGTATCCTTCCGCCTCGTCCGTCTTCTTCCTATCAGCCCAGCATCCATCCCTTGACCCTATATCATGTTCGGTGCTTGGGAATATGATAGCGTTTACGGAACGATGGCACGTCGAGGCTCAGGTTCCGACCCTCCTCTAGGCGCCGAGCCTTCTTCAATGTCCCTAACATCCTGCAGGCGAACGTGAGTAGTCGCACAAGCAATTGCAACCATTCCTAGCTAACCAATTCTACAGTTCTTCGTCCCAAACACTACCTGAAACCCAGAGAGAGACCCAACGACTATCATTTAAAACAGCACTTCGACTCTTAATACCTGACGGATCCATGGACACACCAGCCAGCTGGGATGGCTCAAGCACGCCGAAGCCAGCTTTGGCAGAGGGGTATTTCGGGAAACAGGCGATGCCAGGCTCACCAGCCACACCGCACTCAATGAATCGATCGACGCCCACATCAACGGCTTCCCAACAGTCACCAGGCAATTACTTAGCAACGCCGCAGCGAGGGTCTAACTTCGATCCCCCAAGACCACCCAAAGAAGGATTCGAATAGGTGTGGTTTCCAGAAGGGTATTGGGCGGAGCGAGAAGTCCGGAACGTATCCCGCAAAACCAGCGGCAACTTCTGGAAACGATCAAACAAACTGTCCAAATCTCGATACTCTGGGGCCAGCGAGCCTTCTAACTCTGAAGCGGAACCTTCACCTTCGACAATTATCAATCACGGGCCTTTGAGCCCGTCGTCAGAAGAAGCTCTCGTGCTGTCTTTGCAAAACCCCCGCGCTCCAAGCCACATTTGTGACCATCTGCCCAGCATCTCTTCAACTATGAATATCTCTCAGACACACACCGAAGAAATCGAGGTGAACATGAAGAATAATGGATCGGACACGCCCCGCAGCTGGAAGTCCATAGGTACGTCCAGTACCAAAAGTCGCGGGGAATCTGCAAAGTTCAACTTATTCAAGAGTAAGCCTGTGAGTCGCAGGCACTGATATCCTTGGTGTTTACGTGTCTGACTTGGAGTAGAAGACAGCTCCCGAGGAGCCGAGTGCACCACCCCACCCTCATCAAATTTCCGCAGCTTTGAAGAAGGTTGGAAGCTCGTCAGGTCTCAAGTCATTGAACTAGGGGTTCACCAAGGAGGCCCCAAACAGCTCAAAATCCGGACAACGGTGGTTCGGAAAGTCGCCTTGGCATCGCAGAGATTCCAATGACACTATCAGCAGCGTGACAAGTTCAGTTCGAGAGGTCTTGGCTGGCAGAACACCAGCTACCACCCCCGATCCCGAAACCTTTCTTCGTGAGTGGAGCCGTCCTGTGATTTCAGTACTGTGTAACTAAAGCCATATTTCAGACCAATTAGACTACACCATGACCCCTTATCCAGCCGGAGTAAGTTCTCTCGATAATCGCTCACAGCTTGCGTGATTCTGACCTTTGGCGCAGGAAGCAACGCGGGTCAAGACGCCACCTCTACACGAAGACACCGCTGATGGGAGACCCCGAGGTTTCTTCGGGAATGTGATACCACCGGGAGGAGACGGCGACAGCTAGCATCCAGAACCTGCCTCTGGATTCGAGAGGAAGAAGGTGCAAGACTGTCGTAATAAGCTGCCCAAAAAGGCCAAGGAATGGTGGGACGCAAAACCGGAACATCGGCCGCGGCCCAAGAAAACGATGAATGCCCAGCCATTCGAGTTTGACATACCAGAGCACCTACCGAGCAGCCCCATGTGCCCGACAAATCCTAAGCATCCATCCGGTGGCAAAGGGATGTGCGTCTATCATGGTAGAAGAAGAGAGGGTTCGCTACTTAAAGTTGGGCAGACTGTGAATGACAGGCGTCAGGGATCAGAGGTATCGATCACCTCAGAGAGAGATAATAGAGATTGAGGGTGTTTGTTGTCAAAGGTCTGAGCTATTGGTAAAGCAAAAAAAACTCCGATTCGTGACCTACAGAACCTATCACTCCTCCTTATGTAGCTGTCAGTGCAACATGTAGTTTTAGCAAGGCGGACTTCATTGTGGCTTTCCTGATGGGGTGGCGCAGGTGCCTGGGGTCTTTTCGTGGCTGGTGCTCCTAGCTAGCAACAGCTGTGAGGCTGGTCGCAACCCCAAAATTCGACGCTGCCATCCTTACTTTCGCCAGCACTCGTCGCAGTCAATTCACCTCAATTCTACCTGGTTATAAATATCGCGCGTCGCAATCCGACCGCAACTACTGTGGATACCCTACTGTCAATTATCAACGCCGAAACTCTTCACGATGGCTGCCGTTGAGCAGGACCCCCTGCTCTTGCTGCGCCAGTCGATCGCATCCAAACGACCTGCGGTTCCGACAGCCTCTGATGCCTCAGCGGCTGAGGTTCCTCTCTCCCAAGCTATACATCTGCGCTTTTCGCACCCGTCGACCGTATCGGTGTCTCTGGATACTCCGACGCGCTTCATATCGAGCGACCGTCCCGTCGACCTTCGATCCATCTACTTCGCCTGGCTGAACAAGGACGTTGCCATCCCCGAATACAATGCCAGCGCGACTCGCCTTAACGAGGAGTTGGGAAGCCTTGGAACTGTCCAGAACCTCGCGTTCGTCGAACGTCTAGACCTGTTTACCTGGCTGGAAGGCGCTAGTGAAGAAAGTGAGCATATCAAGCCGCTGGCTGGCGACAAGGAGGGCAAAGAAGGTGCTGGCGCAAGCGCGTCCAAGGCTGCTCCTGCGGCTGCGTCGAGCAGAGCTGGACGCGGAACGCTGGATCCCAGACTGGCCGTCATCTACAACGGAGAGCGCAAGATGGGTGACCGCAACTCCATTCTGCGAGGTGTCAAGTCTACAGTGAGTCGCATGTGTGGCGATGTCCCCCGGCATAGACTGACAGATTTCACAGGACTTTTCCCACGTCCGCAAGCTCGCCGTTCCATTCATCCAAAAGAAGCCCCAGGGATCGTCAAACATCAGCTCCAACCCTTCCCTCGCACTCAACCCGAAAGGTCCAACGCGTCGTCCCGATCCTATCATTCTTCTCTCGCCGTCCGCCTCCTCGCTCTTGCGACTGTCCAACATTCGCTCGTTCCTGGAGCAGGGACGCTACGTCAACCCCGATGGTGGTGCTGCGGCCTCGAGTATGTTGCATGTGTCGCGCATCATGAAGGAGATCGACCCCTCGCGCCCCATGCGCTTCATTCTCGTCGAGGGCCCCGAGCAGTTCAAGCCAGAATACTGGAACCGCGTCGTTGCAGTCTTCACCACGGGCCAGTCGTGGCAATTCAAGAACTACAAATGGAGCAACCCGCAGGACCTGTTTCGCCGCATTCAAGGCGTTTACGTTGGCTGGCGTGGTGACCAGCCGCCTGAAAGTGTCCGCGAGTGGGGACACCGTGTGATGCACATTGGAGTCGACCGCTGGCGTGATGGTGCGGGTGCCATCGAGGCTGCCAAATTTAGAGACAAGGAGGCCTCTGAGGCTATCTGGAGGATTATTGAGGCCGGCATGAAGGCCAAGGGATGGACGAAGAGCACTGCGCCCACTCTGCTGTAAAGAGGTGAGGTTGGGAAGACAGAGAGGAAGCTCGGAAATGCGGAGGCATGAGAATCTTCACAGAAGAGAATGGGCGCGCTAAACAGAGGTGCATGTATCAACAAAAACCAGGGCTGGGGAAAGTAAAGTTCACAGCGACGGCGTTATACGGGCTGATTTGTGCAGGACAGAAGATTGGAGAGACACCCGACTTCCATGCAGCTCTATGGATAAGGGGGTGCAATGAGTTGGTTCTGGTCATACCAGGTATTCAGAAAGGAGATTGCTAAACGAAGCTGGAGGAACGATACGGTCCTCTGTATTGAACTACAAACGTGCACTTAAGATTGATGTTGGAATGAACACACAAAGATGAGACGGCAAGTAACATTTATTCAATCGATTTATATACTGCAAGAATCTAGTAATGTCAGGGAGACCAACATATGCCAACTGGCCGAGAACAGACCTGCCTTTGACACGGCCGATAGCTCCCAGCGCTTGGACCATGCCTACGATGTACGTACTACCTTAGCCAGCACCGCGTTCACTTCTAACGACGCGTCGGACCCCTGTCCCGTTGCTCCAAAATTCCCGATAGTAACCCCAGAAACCTGGTGCCAGCTCTACGGATAATGAGACGTCCATCTGGCGGCAACTGATTCCCCGAGATCGACGTCTCACCATATCGCTCACCACGATTTCCCAGTCAAGCCATCAAAATGGCCCCAAACGCCGGCTCAAGCCGCAAGCGCAAAGAGCCCGAGCTGCCCTCGTCCCTCCAGAAGAAGCGCAGACTGAACGACCTTTCGAAATCCTCTCCGACAACGCCAAAATCCATCCCCGGCGTCGGCTCATCGGCCGTCAAGAAGTCCAGCCGCAAGACCGCCCCGGCCGTTAGCTCGCCATACGAGGTTCCCGACTCCCCAGAGGAGGGCGCTCCTCCAAAACGAATCCGAAACGTTCGAAGCGTGAATCGACCGACGCCCAAGGTTCCAATTGCCGCTCGTGGCCAGATCAATATCGATGCGTACGATGTGCCAGACTCCGACGATGAGCTGCATCTGAACCCCAAGGAGGTGAATGCGCAGAAGGCGAGCCCGACGGTGAGAAAGAGCGGTGGCGTAGCGAAGGCGGTCGTGCCTGAGCCGAAGCAGAAAGCAGCTAGAAAACGAGTGCCGTCGCAGAAAGGTGCAATAAACGCAGTGGAGCTGGACCCGGCAGAGGAGATTCCCACAACCGAGGAAACAGAGGTGAAGGCGCGTGCCAGTGGGAGGCGCAGGATACCAACGGCCAAAGTATTGGAGGAGCAGCTGGGAGGGATCCGTTCCGGCACATCAGTCTACCGCGCGACATCGTCAGCGGCCGACGATGTCCAGGAGACGAAAAAGGCAACCGGCAAGGCGGTTCGCAACGTTTCCATGCCGTTGAAGGGCATCTTGACGCCGTCGAAACGGGACGGAACACCAAGGAGAAGCAAGAGCGTTGCTTTTGATAACGAACAAAGCAAGGAAGAGGTGTTCTTTGAGGATCTGCCAACAAAGTCTGGACGAAGTAAGCAGACCCCGGGAAAGGCGACGCCAAAGGCTGCGAGTACGACAAAACCACGAAGGCCGGCCCCCAAAGCGGTTGAGGAGGAGCCGGTGGAAGAAGACGAGGAAGAGGAACCTGAGCTCGAGGTCGAGGGAGGGCCTGCCGAAGAAGAGGAGGAGTCGGAAGATGAAGATATCTGCGTCGTCTGTTCGAAGCCAGACTCAAAGGCGGGAAACAAAATTTTGTTCTGCGATGGATGTGATCGGTGCTATCACCAAAAGTGCCACAATGTTCCGAAGGTTCCCAAGGGCGACTGGTACTGTGACGATTGTGTTCAGCAAAAGGAGTCTCGGGTTTTAGCGGCTGGTGAGGTGGCCAAGATTCCTAACTTCGCCCAACACCTGAACAGCATGAAGAGAGTGCTGCTCGATAGGTGTACGGGGCGCCGACGGATCAAGTTGATTGATCAGGATGAGGCATATGAGAAAGCACACCAGCTGGTGGAGCAGACAGTGCTTGCAGGAGAGGGAAACTCGATGTTGGTGATCGGAGCCAGGGGATGCGGCAAGACCACGGTAAGCAACGCAAGAATATCACCCAAGAAGAAGACTGACATCCCCAGCTTGTTGAGAGTATTGTCAGCGACCTGTCTTTACAATACGAGAAGGAGTTCCATGTGGTGCGCCTCAATGGCTTCATCCACACGGATGACAAGTTGGCTCTGAAGGAGATATGGCGCCAGCTGGGCAAGGAGATGGATGCCGAAGACGACATCACGGCTCGGGTAGGTCCACGTCGAACTGCACAAAGATGGAGAGGTCTCTAATTCAACACCAGTCCAACTACGCCGACACGATGGCCTCGCTGCTGGCGCTCCTCTCCCACCCGTCAGAAATGGCTCAGGCGGAAGAGGGGGTGACGTCACAGGCTGTCATTTTCGTCATTGACGAGTTTGACATGTTTGCTGCTCACCCGCGCCAGACCCTGCTCTACAATCTGTTTGATATCGCGCAAGCACGGAAAGCCCCCATTGCGGTGTTGGGCTGCACTACACGGATGGATGTTGTGGAAATGCTGGAAAAGCGCGTCAAGAGTCGTTTCAGCCATCGATATGTCTACTTGTCTATGCCGAAGAGTTTGCCAGCGTACTGGAACGTGTGCAAGCAAGGCCTTATGGTTGACGAAGAAGACATGGAAGCGGAGGGGATCGATGTCAGCGTCGAGGGACACGAAGTCTTCTATGCAAATTGGAATGCGATGATCGAGGTAAGCGAACCAGCGAGGTTGAGAAGCAAGCAACTAATCCGTGTCCAGGTGTTGCGCAAAGAGAAGTCCTTCCAGAATCTCCTTCAGTGCCACTATGCGACATCAAAATCGGTATCGGCGTTTTGGTCGGAATGCATCCTCCCGCTGTCCTCGCTATCGCTCGAAGCCCCAGACCTGGTCCTCCCGCCCCCGGCTGGGTCAGCGGTCTCCCTAAGACCACCAAACTCCAAGTTGCATATCCTGCCTTCGCTCTCAGAGCTGGACCTGGGGCTGCTCATCGCTGCAGCACGCCTGGATATTGTGGCTCACACAGACACGGTCAATTTCGCCATGGCGTACGACGAGTACAGCTCCCTGATGGGCCGGCAGCGCGTGCAGTCGGCTAGCTCGGGCATGCTCGCCCTTGGAGGCGGAGTGCGGGTATGGGGTCGCGGCGTCGCCGGCACGGCGTGGGAGCGGCTGGTGTCTCTGGGTCTGCTGGTGCCCGCGGGCCTGGGCACCGGGCGAGCCTCTGGCTACGGCGGCCTGGAAGGCAAGATGTGGAAGGTTGACATGGCGCTGGAAGAGATTCCGGTAGGCGTCAAGCTGAATAACGTGCTGGCGCGGTGGTGTAAGGAGATTTGAACATGGGTAGTGGTGTTCGTCACCCATGGCATTGCATACCTAGCATAATACATACGACCGAGTCACGGAGACGTGGCGCAACATGATACTTGCTCTACCTCACGAAATGACCTGACTTTCTGACTTTGACAGCAACAGTGCGCACTCATGATGGGAGCGGCCGACTGAAGAAGAAAATTCCGAGTGCGCACCAACAGTTTGCAGTCGTTGGAGCACGTCTTTTGTGGCAGCTGGCGCATCCTAGCGCCGCGTGGCCGGACGAAAGACGCTACGAGACTGCTGACGTTTGTTTTGAGCCACAGAGCGCACGCGTAGGTGCTTGTGCTAGCTATCCTACCTAGTCTGGGATGTGGCCTGTTTTCTCCCGCGCAAATCAGTTGATAATTTAGTGTGCGTAAGGCCCATCGTGAGATCCATGGCGGCCGTCGAAAGCCTCTTTGACTTTTGGTTACTGCAGACGAACTATCCGCAGCACGTTGCATCTCAGTCAGCACTCAAAAGCAAATAGGTAATGATACCCGTGAATGCGCTAGGAGTTTACGAGAGAGGGAGGGGAGGGACTAGGAGTTAAAGGAGACCCTGGCCCTGAACAGGTTTGCTCTCACGCACGTTATCCACGTGTTGCTAGGGATCTCGATTGGGGGGGGAAGACGGGCAGCAAATATCCTCCCCCTCTATATTTTTGAACTGGGGTGACGGATGAACGGAGGCAGCGATCCTCGAGGGTTAGGAAGGAGGCCACATGTCGTGAAACGAGTGATCGACGACGACGAGCCATCAGCCCCGGCAGAGGGTCTCGGGAGAAGGCGGTTTGGAAGCACCTTGAAATAGGACCATGCTGCGTCATGTTACCCAGCAATCGCACAGCCAACAGATGGGCATGAGGAATGTAACGCTCTCGAGGCGGGGTGTTTCTTCTGAGACTTTCGGTGTGTGTTTTTGCCTGCCTGCCTGCCTCCCCCGATGAGATGGGATGACAGCGGCCGCCAGGAGGTTCAGAGACATTTGATGCAGAAATGATGGCGGCGGCCGACAGGCTTTTACGAGTCGACGTTTTGGGGGGCATGCGCCAAGGAGTTTGGTGGGTTGGTTGGTTGGTTGTGTAAGTCATGGTGCTCAGCAGGCAAACACGGACACGGTACTTTTGCAGCCCGGACACACTTGTTGGACTCAAAGTAGGCATTCGTATGTTGGAGGCGTCGGCGGGTTCATGTCCGCATACCTCTGCACCATTCTGGGGACTTGTTTCTGTTTTCCTTCAGCTCGTAAAAGTGCGTCTCCAGCATCGGGCCGGGGGGGAGCACTGGAGAGATTTAAGTGCAGCGTGGGCATGCATCTCAGCTTGGAGAGGTTCAGGCCTAGTGGGATCGCGGGGCGGTCTTGTTGGGTGGTAAACGATGGACCCAATGGCGGTTGTCGGAATCGGCTCCAGCATGCCACACCAGTGGAGCTGGCAGCGTGACCCACCAGACATGGCGGCCGCCGCCACGTTGCGGCCTTGATTCCGCCCGTGTGTCTCCGCTGCTGATGGAGGGCACCAAGGGCACTCACTAAGCTGCTCCAGTGACCATCGAGCGACTGCCGGGCCTGCGCAGCCA